ATCTTTTTATCGATCTATTTAGCTATCGATCTATCTATTTATCGATCGATGCTTCTATCTGTCTATCTATCTATCCATCTATTTGTTTATTTATCTATCTATCTATCTATCTATATCCTTCTATCCTTCTATCTCTCTATCTATCTATCTATCTATCATCTATCTATCTATCTATATATATATATCTATTTATCTATCTATCTATCTATCTATCTCTCTATCTATCTCTCTATCTATCATACATACATACATACATACATACATACATACATACATACATACATACATACATACATACATACATACATACATACATACATACATACATACATACATACATACATACATACATACATACATACATACATACATACATACATACATACATACATACATACATACATACATACATACATACATACATACATACATGACATACATACATACATACATACATACATACATACATACATACATACATACATACATACATACATACATACATACATACATACATACATACATACATACATACATACATACATACATACATACACACACACATACACACATACGCAGATACGCACATACATACATACATACAGACATACATGATGTAACATAACATAACATTATATGACGACAAACATAACATACATACATACATACATACAGACATACATGATGTAACATAACATAACATTACACGACTTAATGTGACATAACATTACATCACATTACATAACATTACATTCATACATACATACATACATACAGACAGACAGACAGACAGACAGACATATTTACAAACATACATGGATACAAAGGAGTTATCTGGTTAGTGGCCATAGTCAACTGGCCCCATGGTCTGCAACATACACCTAGAATCCTTTCTCGGGCATTGTAGAAGAAAAAAAAATACGACCGAGTTTTTCTACTCCGCTAAACTCGGTCGTAATTCTGTGGGGCATTTGTTGGCTCTGAATTCGTCACAGCCAAGCAAGAAAGCAACACTGGACACTCATGCCACTTATAATGTTTCATAGCTCTGGTTTACTAAGTCAAAATGGACTGTCGTCTATGTACTTGGCTTACACCCCCAGTTACCAATAAATATAACCCCTCATCATCTATCTATCTATCTATCTATCTATCTATCTATCTATCTACGATCTATCTATCTATCAATATCATCTATCTATCTATTTATCTATCTATATCATCTATCTATTTCTATCTTATATTATCTATCTATCTATCTGACTCGGAAATCTCTTTCTACGATGTTCTACAACACCCGCTATCATCTGCAGCCTCTGAAAATCTCCAGCTTTATGAACATTATCTGTCTATCTCTCTCTGTCCCTCTTTTCATCTTTCTAGCTGTCCCTGTCTAAATGTCACATGACTTTCTACCTACAACTATCTACAAGCATCTATCTACAACACTAGCCATCTATCTATTATCTATCTGTCTGTCACTAGCCTACATCTAATCTTTCATCTATTATCCTCTATTCCCACCCTTATGCTCAAAACTCTCTTAATCAATATCTAGCTTTTTATCTCCACTAGGTCTGCTACTACACTTTACCTATCTATTCTGCTTCTTCTCTTTCATCTATCTATCTGTCCCTGCATCTGCTGTCTCTATCTATCTACTATCTGCCCCTGTCTGTGAAGTCATCTGTCATCTGTCATCTGTTATCTGTCTACCTGTCTATCTCCTATTGGGCCAGGTCATTCAGTGCAATGTAGATAGTGAAATGTTTGTGGTGAGTGGAGTGTATCAGTCATCATTCGCCGTCGGATATGTAGCGATCAAAGATTTCGAGGGTTGCCAGATGAACATAAACGTTAACATCATGCTGACCCCTATTCAAATCATTCGCATGGCACCTATCTCACTAGAATTTACCAAAGAACATAAAACATCATTTTTTCGGGGTTGCGCTTCATCTCGCCTCGATGAAGCACAACCAAGTGCTTGGGAGCACAGCCAAAGTCATTTATCGCACAAAAATGAGCTTGGTTGCGCCCCCAAACGCTGGGTTGCGCTTCATCTCCCCTCGATGAAGCACAACCTTGGAAAATGATATTTTTTTATCTTCTTTGGTAAATTTATTTCTTCCAGACCATAGATTATTTTGCCTGTCGAAAAACTTGAAAGAAAGCGTGAAAAAAAAAAAATGTAACTCTTGTTTCATTTTTCCCTTTGAGCCTCTCCGTGTTTTTCCTTTCTTTTTTCTCCTTTTATTCTGCTTTTGTGTTTTTTAGATTTGCTGCTTTGCTTTTTCGCTTTTCCGACGTTGATACTTTTTTCGCTTTTTTCGCGTTTTTCGCGAAGTTAGAATATGCTACGGTCTGGATGACATAAATTTACCAAAGAAGATAAAAAAATATCTTTTTCCAAGGTTGTGCTTCATCGAGGCGAGATGAAGCGCAACCCAGCGTTTGGGGGCGCAACCAAGCTCATGTTTGTGCGATAAATGACTTTGGTTGTGCTCCCAAGCACTTGGTTGTGCTTCATCGAGGCGAGATGACGCGCAACCCCGAAAAAATGATGTTTTCTGTTCTTTGGTAAATTCTAGTGAGATAGGTGCCATACGAATGATAGTAGTAGTAGTAGTAGTAGTAGTAGTAGTAGTAGTAGTAGTAGTAGTAGTAGTAGTAGTAGTAGTAGTAGTAGTAGTCCTCATAGTAGTAGTAGTAGTAGTAGTAGTGGTAGTGGTAGTGGTAGTAGTAGTAGTACTACGGCCAGGACGGATGTGCTGCCCGGGAAAGTGCGTTTTGACTGCGCAGGGCCAATGTTTTGTGAGATTCCCCGTGTCGTTCGTTTGGGCAAACGGATGACGAATTTTTCCCTCATTTCATCAACATCATCATCATCATCAGCATCATCAGCAACAACATCAACATCATCAACATCATCAACATCCCAATTGACTGTAAAGTTTAACGGGGGTGGGAGTTTACTATTCCCTAATACCCTTGTTGATCTTCCCAGTTGAATGCAAAGTTTAACGGGGATGGGAGTTTAATATTCCCTAATACCCTTGTTGATCTTCCCAATTGAATGTAAAGTTTAACGGGGGTGGGAGTTTAATATACCCTAATACATTTGCTGATCTTGCAATTGAAATGCAAAGTTTAAGGGGGTGGGAGTTTAATATTCCCTAATAGCCCGTTGATCTTCCCAATTCAATGTAAAGTTTAACCTGGGTGCAGTTGAAATTCCCTAATACCCTTGTTAGTGGGAGAACCTCCACAGAGTCAACCCCTAACTTGGTTGACCCTCTGGAGGCCCCTCCACCGGGCCCACGTATTCGGAGTTCGGAACGTACTTGTACAGAACAAAAAAGGATACTTTATGTATACTTAGTAGAAATCACAAGGTCAACAGCTAACCAAAAACATTAGTTTCTGTGGACCCGGTTGGACTTTATGTAAACTTGCTAGAAATCACAAAGTCAACAACTAACCAAAAACAATAGTTTCTGTGGACCCGGTGGGAGAGCCTCCACAGAGTCAACCCCTCACTTGGTTGACCCTCTGGAGGCCCCTCCACCGGGCCCACCTATTCGGAGTTCGGAACGTAATTCTACAGAACAAAAAACGATATTTTATGTATACTTAGTAGAAATCACAAGGTCAACAGCTAACCAAAAACATTAGTTTCTGTGGACCCGGTTGGACTTTATGTAAACTTGCTAGAAATCACAAAGTCAACAACTAACCAAAAACAATAGTTTCTGTGGACCCGGTGGGAGAGCCTCCACAGAGTCAACCCCTCACTTGGTTGACCCTTTGGAGGCCCCTCCGCCGGGTCCACGTATTCGGAGTTCGGAACATCATTGTACAGAACAAAAAACGATACTTTATGTAGACGTGGCGGAAGCGCCTCCACAGAGTCAACAACTAGCTCAGTCGACTCCCTGGAGGCCCGTCCAACGAGTCCGCGTGCTGACAACACGGTATACCTACAAGAATAACGATTCACCAACAACAAGCACACAAACATTCCAGCTGCTTGGGTGAGCTTTTCAAACTCCAAAAGTTTCTTTCCAACCGATTCTTGTCCAAAATGCCTACCTTATACATCTAACGTTAGAAATCGGCAAACTCTTCAACGCAATTTCCACGAAGTCATGAATCCGCTTGTTGATCTTCCCAATTGAGTGTAAAGTTTAACCGGGGTGGGAGTTTAATATTCCCTAATACCCGTGTTGATCTTCCCAATTGAATGCAAAGTTTAACGGGGGTGGGAGTTTAATATTCCCTAATACCCTTGTTGATCTTCCCAATTCAATGTAAAGTTTAACGGGGGTGGGAGTTTAATATTCCCTAATACCCTTGTTGATCTTCCCAATTGAATGTAAAGTTTAACGGGCCTGGGCGTAGTAGTAGTAGTAGTAGTAGTAGTAGTAGCAGTAGTAGTAGGAGTAGCAGTAGCAGTAGTAGTAGTAGTAGTAGTCGTAGTCGTAGTCGTAGTGGTAGTGGTAGTGGTAGTGGTAGTGGTAGTGGTAGTGGTAGTGGTAGTGGTAGTGGTAGTGGTAGTAGTAGTAGTAGTAGTAGTAGTAGGCGTAGTAGTAGTAGTAGTAGTAGCAGTAGTAGTAGTAGTAGTAGCAGTCGTAGTAGTAGAAGTAATAGTAATAGTAATAGTATAATAGTAGTAGCAGTAGTAGTAGTAGTAGTAGCAGTAGTAGTAGTAGTCGTCGTCGTAGTAGTAGTAGCCGTAGTAGTAGTAGTCGTCGTCGTCGTCATAGTAGTAGTAGTCGTAGTAGTAGAAGTAGTCGTCGTCGTAGTAGTAGTAGTAGTCGTCGTAGTAGTAGTAGTAGTAGTCCTCATAGTAGTAGTAGTAGTCCTCATAGTAGTAGTAGTAGTCCTCATAGTAGTAGTAGTAGTCTCGTGGCTATGGAAGAGCAAATTCCGGAAGATGCGTGCTAGCGCAATTTGAATCGTATCGACTGTATAATCAGTTCTGCCTAGACTCCTAGACTCTAGATTACTCGTTTGATTTCATTTGTCTTTGGATGTCTTTGGCAGGTCACTTTGCCGAATGTCGACTTGTCTATGTTCACGTGGATGATTCCACCAGTTCCTTCCTTCTCTGCAGCCCTCGCCTGCCCAAGTGTGGTGGGTCCAGCCGTGTGCAAATGTACAAATCACATCAAATACAAAGCTGCACTGCGCTGAGGTTCAAAGTGCTTCTCTGCTTCTTGCCCAACTGTGGCTAGCTTCTTGGTGGGTCCTCCTTCTGTCTCTATGCTAAGTGCTTAAAGATTTAAAGTCTACGACAGAATCATTGAGGATACTCTTGACAGTTCTCTGCAGGACTCGTAGGAAACTCTGCAGAAACTCAACCCATTGCTGCCTTTGGAGCATATTTTGCCACGATTCCTGTTGTTCGATCATCAAAGCGGCTGCCTGGAGTGAGTTTTTGTTCCATCAAGGCTTTACAATCAGAGCAAGTCTGTATGAGCCCAGTACCTACGGCAATGATGCAATCCGCATTCTGAATGGCGAAGTTGGCATATGCAGCCCTGAGCAGTGAAGACACTTCTTGAGAAAAAACTGTGCATACCTGGCATCAACCTGCACAAATCTAGCTGGGGTTCTGGCCCATGCATGCCCAGCATGTGCAGGGATAGCGGATCACGTTCGTCAAAAATCCCCATGCCATGGCACTGGCACGAGAGTCAAGCACAACTCATGTTCGTAGTTCCAGGAGCACAAAAGCATGTTCGTAATGGTCGACCAGACAGTACAAGAGAGCTCAGGATCAAGCAAAAAGATGCAAAAGCAAGTGGAAATGACAAACGACGAACCACGCAAAGCATCTGCGCGGTACTGCGCCGCAAACAGGTCACGAGGTGCTGTCGTTGTAACAGGGATCTGAGCTTTGTGGGCTAATTTGGTGACAATCTCGGGGCAATGGCTTGCACCTCAGCTCGGCCCTCGGCCATAGCTCAGCCATTTCCAAGATGTTTCTAAGATATTTCTACGGTCGAAGGTCAAGCTGAGGTCGGGACCTTGTCCGACGTAAAGGATGGGGCGTTTTGCCTTGTTTATGAGATCTGCTGCCTCGCAATGTTAGAATCACAATAGAAAGTCATCAAACTAGGAAGTCCGATTAATTCTATCCAATTCCACCAACTCCACCAATTGTACCGTCACATTTCGCCACATCACCCTTATTTTTACTTGGCTAGATTCCAGATTACCTCCGGCTGCAGGAATGGAGCACAAGCTACAGCTAAACCAGGCCTTCTGCACGGCAGTCATGTCAAGCATTGGAGGAGTGTCTGCCGATGACACAGCTGCCTTTTTGAAGATAGCTTCTGGCACTTTGGCTTTCATAGAGACAATGTCCTGACAGACAAAACATGTTCACAAATTACACGACATGCGACGCTAAGAAGAAACACGGATTTGCTGTGTCAAATCACACTACATACATTTCCTGAAAGGGAAAATATAAATTGGACAAGTGTGGCTGCGCAAGAGATGGCTGCATCTCATCCACGCACTCCTTCGGCAAATCAATGTGGCACGGGCCCGGCCGACCAGAAGATGCAATTCTGAAGGCCTCATGGAAAGCACATTCCCCAACTCCATGCATGTCATGCATGCTGCCTGTCCCGCCTCGTTTACAGCCCATGGCAATTGGTTGAAATCCAAGCAAACCTAAGCAGCGAAAACGATTGAACCAAAAAGACCAATTCAGGAAAGGCGTATGACACAGATTCTCTCTGAGAGTCAACATGGTACAGGCATCAGATCTCTCAAAGGCCAGCACGTAATTCCACTTCGTGCACGAGCGGGTGATTTCAGTTGCAGGGCACTCCTCATCACATAAACGTCAACCGGTCGTGTCTATGTCTGAAATTGTCTGAATACATCTGAGACGGCACAAACCTGCCCTGCTGAAACTCTTTTTCACGGCCGCTTGGCACAGCTCTCAGCGTCTGCCACATTCGCACGGTAAACATCTTGAAACTATCGACGAGGACAGGCTGCCAACCTCGAACACTCTGTCACTGAGACACTCAAAGACACTCAAAGACACTCAAAGACACTCAAAGACACCAAGAATCGGAGACATCTTCCAAATCTCCAAGAGGACCGATTTCAGAGCAAGCTACCAGTGTTTCGTGTCCTGTTGTATCACGTTGTATCGCTGAGTGTGCTGCATGATAGGGGCACCTGGTGTTCGTACTCCCATTGGTACCGGCGGCTGCATTGGCCGAGATGAGAAAATTCTCTGGGGCAAGGAAGCCAACTGCATCTGAAGAGGAGCCTGCCATCACCAGTTGTGACCAGCTGCACGCCCTGAGTTACACCATGGCCTGTCAAGCACATCAAGTGATGACCGACAAAACCCAGGAGCAGTGCCTGGGCTGGAGCCGCTTCACTTGGCCTGCAAAAGGTGTGAAAAGTATGCCGAATCTGCATCACTGAGAGTCGCTATGTATCACTGCAATTCTCGGGACAAATTTGGACAATACCATTTCAGAATCGAAAGGGATCAAACTTATCAAACACCTTGCCTGGAGCTGCGAGTTGGCATCGCGGGTGAAGTGGCAGCATCTGTCAAGTTTTCGAAGGCTGAATTGGCACTCAAACGGGTCTGATGGGGGCATGAAAGCAAATTGTACACAACTATGGACAACTAACCTTCTGTGGGCCTCTTTTCCACTCTCTGACAGCCCCTTTTCCCGTAGTGCAAAAGTGTAACACTATCCACTGCTGTCGCCCGAACTCACTCAAGGACTGGTCATCTGCTTTAACCCAATTCTTCTGATTTTAAAGCAATCTGTATATCAGGGGGGACAAACAGCACATGCTTTCAAAGGACCGCTTAGCTGTCTTGGTTGTCTATTTTTGTTGCTACAATACAAGCTAACCTCTGCAACCTTGATTTTGCATGTTGTTTGACCAGAAAATGGACTTTCTCCGCACGCTTACGCTGATTCCCTCCAATCTTGATCGGAGTGTCATATGACGCAGTAAGGCAAGCTACACGTTGGCTTTAGCTAGTCCTTGTTTGGCTATATATCTTGTCACCAGCTACAATGCAATCTTGACAGTGCGTCAGTGAGTGAGGCTTACCTATACACGGGCAGCAAACAACCCAACAAACCCGCTCTATCGGAGATTCAAGTAGGAAAAGCACCACAAGGGCTCACAAATGTTTGCACGGATGTTCACGGTCTAACGGTCTAGCGAGACAAACATTACCAAACATTACAAACAATGCAGGCTGTGGCAGCGAGAGGGTGTTTGGAGCGGATGCTTTCCCGCCAAAATTTGGCAAGGCAGTTGTTGGCAAGTTGCCAAAATCAGAATTCTGCAACAGGAACATTGAGGCTTGGAATTGACTTTTGCAGACTGGTGAAATCGGAACAGAAAACATCATAAGGTAGAGATGCAGAAAACAACAACCATCATCAACATGAGAGCAAGGGCATAACAAAACGTCAGAGCAGGACTTTTGTAACAGGTTGGCCGTTTGATTCACCTGTCCAGCTAGGATAGCCTTTGGCTTCAAAATCTGGACTGGTAAAAGACTGACTCCCCCTACCCAGCTGGTGTGGGCGGGCGGGGAAATGAAAACACCCCAGCCTTGAGCCAAAATGGCCACCAAGGCCGAGGTGAAGCTCCCACCCTCAACTCCCCTCTCACTCAATTGGTTGTTACAAACACAGCAAGCTGTTAAAACCAACAACCATCATCAACGTGAGAGCAAGGGCATAACAAAACGTCAGAGCAGGACTTTTGTAACAGGTTGGCCGTTTGATTCACCTGTCCAGCTAGGATAGCCTTTGGCTTCAAAATCTGGACTGGTAAAAGACTGACTCCTAGATGAGTCAAATGCCAACCATGTCCCACCTGCGCAGCGCATTACGACTCTGACGACTGCGACCGGGAAGAGGAAGAAGAGCTCCCGTCGCTTTCGTTATTTGCAGGGAGCTTGAAACATTTAGAGCATTTTGCTCCGTTAGGCTCTTCTTTGAGAAGGGCATAGTCGGCTTGGCCACGGGCAAAATGCCAAAAGCACTTTGTACGCCACAGGTAATGTGGCAAAGTGTTTCCGTGGCGTGCCGCCAAGTGTACTTTGCCTCTCGAAGAGCGGTTTCTAACAAAAAGTACATCATTCTCCGGTGGATCTGGTGCCGGAGGTTCGATGATTGCTGCCGCCTCGCAGTCAGCCAAGGCTTCAACCGGCTGGTGGGCAAGGCCAGTTGCGGCTGCCGTGGCTTCTTTGGTGGCCGCCAGAATGGCCGATAGCTCTGCCCTTGCTGATGCTAAGGATGCTTTGAGCGAAACTTCTTGGGCCAATCCATGGAGCTGTTCGAGGGGAGCGTCTCTTACATATTGTTTAAATATTTCGGATCCCCAACGACCAAACAATTGGATTCTCCAAAGTTCGATTTGGGTGCGAGCCATGTGTACGGCTCCCGCGGCCCTGGCTGAGTGGCCTGTGAATAGTCGAAGCCCAGTGGGGCCGACCAATTTCAGCTTCAGCTTTTGGGCAATCGCCTCAAAAGTGCCGGCCCAGCCTGACTTGGTCGTCTGAGCGCCGGTTTCTGTACAGAAGAGGAACGAATGCCTTTTTGCTTTGGCCCATTTCACTTGTTCCACCATGAGATGGTATGGACAGAGTGCTGGGCTTCCTTGCTCCGCGCAGGAGCATGTGTGGGTGCGAGTGGCGCCCAACGCGCGCCAGTCTGCTTTACTGGACGGCAAATTCCATTTTATTAACTTTTCTCTAGGATCCACTTGCACGTGCGCTAGCAGCGTGTTGCTGGCTTCAATTTCCCTCAACAACCACCAGGACGCAAGCACCGTTGACCGGACGGCCCATTCCGGGCCCCCTGGCGCAAGCGGGTTGCTTACGTCGGTGAGAGTGGAAACATCGGCCAAGGGCAAGGGTTGAGCTTGCTTCGCTGGCCCTCTGCCCCGCTGGCACGCACGCTTGGCGCATTTAGCCGCTAGCGCTAGCTGTGCCGTCCAGGGTTGCCCTTTTTCGATGTGCCTTTGCTTCGCGACTTCGAGGTACAGTTCGGCTGACCTGTACCCTGCTTTGTCCAGGGCCCCCATGACAGAATATATCAGGTCGGGGACGAGATCAAAAGCGCGATCGTACCCGGCTGCCTTTGCTACGGATTCCCAGGTGCGCTCCCTAGACAATGTTGGTCCATGGGAGTTAGCCGCACGGGCCCGCTTGGCAATGTGCTCCATGCACTCCCGGGGTCCGGAGCTGGCTGCCTGAACAGCTAGCTCCAGGGATCCCCTGCCATATGGTTTAACTTGGCGGTCCTCGGGATTTCCCGCCTTGTTGTCAATACCATCGGCAACGGGGGCACGAGACGAAATGACTGGCCCTTCTGCCAAGGGCCTGAACCCTTTAGGCTTCTTGGGCTCGTCGTGAGCAGTAGCTGGCCTTTGCCAGTATGTGGGCCCTACGGACCTTTTCATGCTTAAAATGCTGCGGAGAAAAACTAACCGATCGGACAACCCTCCTACACCTAATAAAACAATCACACCCAAAAACCTACCCCCATCCCGTCCTCAGGTAAACCGCCGCACTTTTTCCGCGTCCGAGTTCACGGATTTGCCAAAAGTCGGGACCTACCTCGATGGGAATCCGTTTGGCTTCCCCGAGGCGATCTTGAGGAAAAGGAGGCGGCACTGGGTCGTGTTGCCTGCTCAACGGGTCGGCTGTGATGTTGAGCTTGGTGTTGATGTGCTGGAGTATAGTGACCTCATATCTCTCCTTGGCCTGGTCGAGTGCTATTTCCCTGGCAACCACCGGCAGTTCGGGTGATTTGGCCTTACCCTTCGCGAGTAGGTAAAGGGCCGATATGTTGTCCGCTTTTACACGGACCACTGAGCCAATGGGGAACCGCACTAACCAGATGCGAGCCGCCAAGAGCAGGCAGAGAGCCTCCCAGAGTGCCATGTGTTTTGGTATTCCGGGAATGGCTCCTGTCTTCACTGTGAACTGAAAGGGAATGGGGCAGCTGAAATACTCGATGGCCGCCCCTCCCATGAGTAGCACTCCGCCCATGCCCCAAGTCGAGGCATCGGTTATGATTATGGCACCTGAGTTAGGTTTGACTGACCTCACCACTCGAGTGAATGGTACAGTCGATTCTTCCAATAGCGCGAGGATCCATTCCATGGAGTGGGCAATCCGTTTGGTGTGAACGAGCTTTCTGGCCCTGGAAGGGCCATCATCAGTCGCCAACACCGCCCAGATGCCTCCCAGGAACGGGCGCATCACTGGGACGACGCTTGCGAAGAATGACAGTGCACCGGCTAGCGATTGCAATTGCTTCTTGCCCACTACCGGTCTCGCCATAATTTTCGTGATGCGTTCCACAACCTCCGAGACCTTGTCGGCTGGAATGGTTATGGAAACCGCCCTGTCCTCCTGTAATATGCGCATTTCTGCGCCGATCCATTTCACTGAATGACCTGACTCTGTCTTCTCCATTTTGATTGGGAAACCCGCCACGGCCGCCCAGAGGATGCTGACCGTGATTTGTTTGTCCCCCTTCGGGTCGCTGGAGTCGAAGACCATGATGGGGTCGTCGACATAGATCTGGCATGCCACTGCCGGGTTGACGGCCGCCAACGTTCTGCCCAGCCACGAGGCGAAGCGTCCCCAGAGAGTCGGTGACGAGACTGCTCCGAAAACGAGCACGTCATACACCAGTACTTTCTGTTGGCCGTTCACTTCAATGGCAGCTGCCGTGAACGCTTTGCCCTCCCCTGCCGGAACATTGTGGAACGCGTTCTCAATGTCTATCGCGAAGAATACTGGTGTGCCCCCGGCCCTGAGGATAGCGACTGCATCTGCCGCTGCGTCGGTTAGCCTGGGCAGTATGATTCTCTCGCCCTGAGAGCACAGTCCGTTTACCCCTGATTCACGTAGGTCCCAAATGAGTCGGGCCTTTCTCTTGTCACCCTTCACTTTCACGATAAGGCCAAGCTTATTGAGTACCGGCCAACGGCCGAGGTACGTTGTGGCCTCCTCCATGGTGTCGAACAGGGAGATGAAGCCTTTTGCTTGAGCCTCTGCAACTAGTATGGCGAGGTCTTCCTGCCATTCGTCAGCTGATGGGTGATTCTTCCATCCCTCGTATTGCCTGGCCAGCTGACTCGCCGCTTCCTCTTCCCAATGTGGTCCTGTGACCCTGGGAAATACCCCTGTGCAGGGTATCGGTTGTGAATAGCCCAGTGGGGCTCCTTCTCTCAGCCAGGTGGCCAGCAGCTTGGCGTCGGGGTCCTCTGTGAATTCACCCCAGGCCCAAAGCACTTCCGCCGAGATAGGCGTTGACGCCCTCGTGCTCTTCTGGGGTAGTTGGACGCCGGCCGGAGCCAGCAAGCCCACCACCAGCTCTCTGAGTTTCTCGACGAACGCTTTGTCGAGGGGCACGGTTTTCTGCCCTCCCAGAAGTGCCTTTGTAATGCGCACTGCTTCTGGATGGGTGGCTGCGTTCAGGAGGAGCTCATTTATGGCCTCGCCTGCAATCAAGGATCTGGGGAGTTTGGCTGCTGCAGCACGAGGGTTTCTCATA